TTAATTCACTCATGAATTGTTAAATGCATAGTTAATGAAAACTTTACACATATATTAATTCATTAGATTGTGAATTTTAAGCAATTCTTATGTTATGATGCAATAGAAATTTTAAAAATTGCTTAAATTTTGATTTATTATAATATAATCTGTGAGGACATGGAAGCTGTTCATTAAAGACCCTCACACTACTATTGAGAGAGTTGCCATAGCACCCAGCTGGTGTGGCTAAGTGGTTGAGCATTGACCCATGAACCAAGAGGGTGGTTTTAGGGCTGGATCCCCAGTGGAGGACATGCAAGAGGCAGCTGATCAATGATGGTTCTCTCTCATCTATCTTTCTTTCTACCCTTTTCCCTTCCTCTCTCTCTCTCAAAATTAATAAGCATATTTTATGAGTTACCATAGCAACCAGTATTTAAAAAAGAATGTCTCTTAGTACTAAGAGCCCTTTAGGTCCTTAAAAATTTCTGATCAGTTTCTAATGGCATTGATGCAATTGCATCTTATGATTGATGTGTGCTGGTATTTTAATAGCATTTTAAAATGCTAGACTTGTAAGATTTCTTAAGAAGTAGGACAAGTTTTAAAGATAGTGTATTAAATTATTTATTCCAAGATGCAAGATGTTCATCCTGGGGTTACTATAGATCTTACTTCTTATTGAATTGAATAATATTCTCAAATCAGGATCCTGGTTGACCTAGTCCAATAAAAGCACAATGTGTTCTCCGGAAATAAATCAGTACACATGCATGCAGCACAGTGAGGGGACATTGTTTAAGCTACCTTTATAAATAATAGCTCCTGAAACATTCCGCAATTTAATTAAGTTTGCAGTGCTTTCCCTCTCATCTAGTAAACAGAATAGAACTGCTGCTGTCCAACAGTTTGTTATTCTCCTGGCCAGATAATTTATTGCATATCTATAGGCAGATGAGCAAGCAAACAAATTAACTTCTATCCTCCACTGAGAGGGCTAAAAATTAATTAGGCCAGTTTCATAAAGCAAAAAAAGGTGATTCTAGCCTATCTATGCCCACACAGACTTTGATGCTATAAAAGTAAATCCTTTTCCATCTCTTCTAGAAAGAAATATGGAGCCAGATTTATTTGTTTTAGTCAATTGGTTCTATTGATGTGTGTGATAAATTGACCAATTACACTTTTCCATCTCATGGGAGAAATTAGGCAAAAGTTATGCTTCATATAGTTTTAAATCTGGTGATTTCTACTGGAAAGCATGCAATAGCCTGAGTGCAACCTGGAGGCTCTATTCAATGCCTTTTAACAGATTTGGGGGTTGACGAAAAACAATGAAATAAATTACAGGAAGGCCATTGTGAGTTATGTACTTAAATTGTCCATTTTGGGGATCTGTTGGTCCTCTGATTCTTTACCACATAATTGTGATTCTTATCTATACAGAAAAAGCCTAAGCGACCTTTATGGTGCAATGGCCAGAATGACTGGTCGCTATGATGCACACTGACCACCAGGGGGCTCAATGCAGGAGCTGCCCCCTGGTGATCAGTCAGTGCACTCACACAGGAGGAGCACCACTCAGCCAGAAGCCAGGATCACAGCTGGCAAGAGCAGCTGCCACAGCCCGGACCTGTGGCAACACTACCCAGTGAGCAGCAGCAAGTTTAGCAGGCCTAGATGAGAGTGAGTGGTGGGATGACCAGCCCCTATTTGGGCTCCTCTCTGGCTGCCTGCCAATGGCGCACTGCTGCATCCCCAGAGGGATTCTGAATTTCAAGATGTTGCAGGCCAGCTGAGGGAAACCCTCCCCTCAATCCTATTGCACAAATTTTGTGCACTAGACCTCTAGTCTTTAATATAAATAATTACACAAAAATTGTATGTCATCCTTTGATTATTACTAAAATTGGAAATGCAAGGTTGAGTTAATTCTTATTTCCATCCACCCCAAACTTTAGTGAAGTAATTTTTTTTAGCTGAGGCCAAGGTAGATGCATTGTCATATGAGATCATAATCCTTAATTCAATTTATATTCCGGGTGTTCTGTAGAAGCATCTAGGCAATTCACTTAGCCCATTCATTGACTCCTATAGATACATTGTAGATAGAAACAACATCAACATATTTTACTAAAAAAAAAAGAAAAGAAAAAAAAGCAAACACATGGTAAGTATTTAATAATGGCTCAATATTTAATCTTTATAAGTTCAAGAAGAAAAATGTTATGTTACAGCAAATATAATGTTACAGGGAAGTGAGTATTTAGTATGTGAAATTATTTCAATAACATCACAAATTTCTAGTAAAACTCTTAAGTTTCCAGTCTGTATTTCAGACCAGTCTCCTCCATTGTTGTCCAGAGACCAGAATTATTAGCAATATCTGGAAAGTGAAAATGCAAATTATCAACTATCACACCAGAACTAACAAATCTAAAACCACATTGTGGCTAGGGTCCAACAATATGTATGTTTTTTAATGTTTGAATTGATCTTCATTGTAGATTTTACTACAGAGTAAATAAAAATTAAATTACTATCTAGAAAGATTAATTATAAAGATTTTATAATTTCATTTAAAACCTGATAAAATAATAAAACTTATTTTTTTAAATATATTTTAGTTTTCAACTAACGTTGAAATTCAATATCATTCTGTACCATTTCAGGTGTATAGCTTAGTGGTTAGAACACATGTGTCAAACACAAGGCCCGCGGGCCAAATCCGTCCCGCCAGGCCTTGCAATGTGGCCCACACCGCGCTGTCATCACTGCACTCCGCTGCGTTTCCATCACAATGACAGTTTATGACTGTTCAGTAAACCATTCGGCCCGCAATTTAGGTTGGATTTTAGATTTTGGCCCCTTCTCTGATTGAGTTCGACACCCCTAGGTTAGAAAATCATTTTCTTTATAGAGTGGGTTTCCCCACTACTTCAAGTACCCACCTGGACCCAGATATAGTTATTACAATATAGAGGTCTGGTGCATGAAATTCTTGCATGGGTACAGTCCCTAGGCCTGGCCAGCAATCAGGGCCAATCGGGCCTTCACTGCCAACCCGGAACCTTCCTTCCCTCGCTCCCTGCTGCCTACTATGGCCTTCCTTCATTCCACACAACCCCCTGGTGGTCAGTTTACATAATAGAACTGATCAAACTCCCGGTCTCCCAGTTGAACTCCCAAGGGGACACTTTGCATATTAGCCTTTTATAGAGAGATTTTTTATTATTATTTTTTTACTATATTCCCTATGCTATTATCTACATCTCTGTCACTATTCTACAACTACCAATCTGCACTTTTTAATCTCTTGACCTTTCACCCAGGCCCTCTTCCCCCTCCCCTATGGTATCTGTCAGTCTGTTCTCTTTATCAGTCTGTTTCTATTTTGTTAGTTTATTTTGTTCATTAAATTCCACATATGAGTGAAATCACATGGAATTAGTTTTTCTCTGATTGGCTTATTCCACTTAGCACAATACTCTCCAGGTCCATTCATGCTGTTGCGAAGATAAGATGTCCTTATTTTTTAGTGCTGAGTAGCATTCCATTGTGTAAATGTGCCACAGCATTTTTACCCACTCATTTACAGATGGACACTTGGGCTGTTTTCAAATATTGGCTATTGTAATTAATGTTGCAATGAACATAGGGATGTACGTATTCCTTCAAATTAGTTGTTTGGGTTTCTTTGGATATTTTCTCAGAAGTAGAGTCAGTGAGTCATAAGGCAGTTCTATCTTGAATTTTTTGAGAAATCTCCACACTGTTTTCCATAGTGGCTGCACCAGTCTGCATTCTCACCAACAGTACACAAGGTTTCCTTTTTCTCTACATCCTGGCTAACACCTGTCGTTTCTTAATTCACTGGTGATAGCCAATCTGACAGGTGTGAGGTGATACCTCAATGTGGTTTTCATTGCATTTCTCTGCTAATTAGTGACATTGAGTAATCTGTATTTTAATAAGCCCTCTGGTTGTGCTAATATTCACTAAAATTTTATTATTATTTTAAGCTATAAAACTATATTATTTAAATGACTCCCACCAGGCAAGGTACAGATATCTTCAGAATGAGCATTGATAATAGGTTACATATGGGATAGAAAGGAGACTGAGACTGTAGTTATCAGTAGGTAATGATTGTCTCCAGACAATATACAAATGTATTTACCAACAAATTAATTTAATTAATTAGAAAGTTTAGCAAAGTGGTAATAAAAAGACTGGTGAACATATGTTGCCTCTATTTCTAGATATAATCAAGAACCAAAAACATAATTATAAAATATGTTATTTAAAAATTTAAATAAAACCATAAATTGAGAAAAATCCAACAAAATTTTGTATAAGACCTACACAGTAAAAATTAGAAAACTGTAATGAAAAACATTTAAAAAGACCCAAGTAATTAGTTTAATAGTTCAAATTCATGCATTAAAGAATTTACTACCATAAGCACATTATTCTCTCAAAGTTGTTCAAGAAATGTAATGGTATTCTAATAAAATTTCAAATAGAGTTTTTATGGCCTGGCCTAGTTAATTCTAAATTGAACATAGGTGAAAGCAAATATCAAAGAAATGCCAAGGCTCTCTGAAGAAAGTAGGAAATTACTCTAAAATATATGAACATCTGTTATTATCCTCATATATAAAAATCCAGTGTCCATAGCATCCACAATGACTGGAGGTTCCACCAACTGGAAGTCAGTGCTAGGTTGCTGTGGTGACCCAGCACTGACTGCCTTAGCTGTGGGAGCCTAGACCCAACAATGACTGCCAAGGGGTCTGTGGACAGTCCGGGAGAGAAGGCTGGGGAGAAAGAAGCAGGGTCTGATTCATAGCCTTCATGGCAGCTATTGATCAGCACCTGCCTCTCTTTTTTGCTCCAGGCTTGTCCAGCAGCTGTATCTCTCTTTCTCTCTGACCTCCACTGGGGCTGCTGATCAGCCCACCTCTCAGATTAGGCCAGTTGACAGGCCCAGAGACACTGACTGGAATAAAAACCGACCAATCAGAACCAAATGTGACTGAAGTATGAGGATCCAATGGCTGCCTGGGAGGCAGAGCTTTTGATGATGACTGGCATAGAAACCAACCAATCAGAACCAAATGTGGGTGAAGTGCGAGGAGCCAGTGGCTACCTAGGAGGTGGAGTTTTTGATGCTGTGTGGCATAGAAACTGACTAATCAGTACCTAATCTGGGTGAACTTCGAAGCAGACCTAAAGTGGGGACTGAGGAGGGGTTTTAAGGGCAATAGCTGTTTGGTATAAGGTGTAAGAGAGTGGTTCAATTTTTTAATGACCAGTTTGGCAGTATAGTGCATATGGCTGGCTATCAGTCTAGGTATAGGGATTATGTATACTTGTCTGCCAAAAGCATCTCCTCTTGCTGAAAAAGGCTCCTCCTCCATTTAAGCAATCCTATCCTATATAATCTATCTATACTACTAAAAGGGTAATATGCATATTAGCATATTAGATTGGGTCAACAGGCCAACTTCTGGATGTCTGACTTCCTTCCAAATAAAGCCATGGTGGTGGGGCCCAAGGCAGAGGCAGTGAGGGGTGATCTAGCTGGCAGGGGAGGGAAGTTGGGGACAAGATCAGACCTATAGGGGAGGGCACTTGGGGCAATCAGGCAAGAAGAGACAGTTAGGAGTGATCAGGCTGGCAGGGAGGGCAGTTGGGGTGAGAACAGGCCAGCAGGGGAGGATAGTTGGGGGCAACCAGGCAGGCAGACAGAGGTGGTTAGGGGAAATCAGGCAGGCAGGCAAGCAGTTAGGAGCCAGCAGTCCTGGATTGGGAGAGGGATATGCAACTGCTGGTTTGGAGAGGGTGCAGGCTGTGCTGAAGGACCCCCCGCCCCACCTCATGCTTGAATTTCATGCACCAAGCCTCTAGTCTATAAAATAATGGCAAATGACATGATATGAAAATTCATTGAAAATAACACGCATATGGCTTTACACAAATACATACACACACACACACACACACACACACACAAAGCCTACACAAACCATTCATTAGAAAAATGCAAATTGAAATCAAAATAAGACTTTCTACCCTTGTGCATGGAAAAAATGAAAACATAAACTAGTAATCAAATGATAGAAATAATATTAAGAATATGCATCAGTTTTTTTCTCTGCTAGGCATGCAAATTGTTAGAATAACTTTGTAAACAAATTGGTATTATTTAACAAATTCAAAAGTATCAGGAGTTATTGTACTTTATAGTTATACTTGCAGGAGAAAATTCTGTCCATTTTGCAATAAGTAGGTTCAAAAATCAATACATCATTGTTAGCAAGAGCAGTGCATAAAATTGAAAGCAACCCAAATATCAGACGAGGTAACTGAGAAAGTGAGTTCAGAGCCAAGTGAAGTCTAACCACAATTATAGAAAACCGCATAGGTGCATTTTCAGTACTAAGTGTCTAGTGATATAAGCAATTGTCAGAAGATTATCATTTTTATGCATTTCAAAACAGGTAAAAATAACTGGACAGGTGCACACATAAGCACCAAAATCACTACAGGAATGATGCCCACACAGGCTGTTCAGGGAACAACCCACTATGGCAACATCAAACTGCCAGTGCAAAGAGGGTGACAGAGAACGGGAAGAGATAAGCACCCCTTATCAATCTATTGTCTGAGTGGGTTCGCTTAGCAACAGGACACTGAGAGCTAAAGGCTGTCCTGCTGACTCTACTTCCTATGGTCAATAATTGTCCCTTCACTTCAACTTGTCACGGGAACATCAACTCCAGCATTATCTGAGACCACCTGTCTATGTAGTGCAAGGACCCCCTCAGCCATCCCCCCCCTGTAGCCCCCACTTTGTTGTGCCTGTATGTGCTGAAAATTCAACCACGCCTCAGAAACTTTCTGTCTCTTTGCTTAACTTTGGTGATACTTCATTTTATTGTTTTTGCAATTTTTTTTTCAAATTCACATCAAGCTATTGTATTTTGCCCTAAATTTAATGTTGGCTCCAGCTTTGTTAGCTTCATTTGATGTAATACAATCATGTGATACTTTCAAAAGAATAGAAATCAGAAAAAATGAGGTGCATATTCAAATGTATCCTAAGAATATGTCTCAAATGCTAGCCATAGAGCACATTCATGAGCCCCCGCTCAGACCTGTAGAACCAGCACAGTGCCTTTCCCAAAGCAGAGGCTCACTTCGTTTTATTGGACAAACATGGAAATCTGGATCTGTGAAGGGATCTCTTATTTTTTCTGCTACTTTTAGGACAGTTTTATTGAGGTATACAAAGAACAGCACACATGCAACAGCTGTGAAACCATCACCACCATTGAGGTAATAAATATACCAACCCCTCCAGAGTTTCCTATGTCCCTTTGTTGTCATGGTGTTTTTTTTGGTGTGTGTGTGTGTGTGTGTGTGTGTGTGTGAGAGAGAGAGAGAGAGAGAGAGAAAGAGAGAGAGAGAGAGAAAGAGAGAGACACTTAGCATGAGATCGTCTATAGATTATCCGTCCCAGACATTTTGAAGTTTTATTGAATTCTTATGTATTCTTTGAATATCTGACTGAAAACTCTGCATTGCAAATGATCAGATCTATAATAATGTAAGTATTCAGACATGGAGCTATCATGTGTGTGGTGTTTAATTTAATGCCAAAATATTTTATTATCTGTCCCTGCTTCCTGGGAGGGATGTACTGAGGAATGTGATTTCTTAGGATCTTCAGATCAAATGCCTAACTTTGGTATAGTTCTTTTTATGGATCTGTGCCCGGTTTCTTTCTACTTAACGTGCTATCTCCATGTTGTATTTTACCACCTACTGCTTACTCTTATAAATTAAATTCCAAGTGGTGTGATTTTGTCAACTAAACATCATACTTATAATTTATGACTTGAGAGAGAGAAGAATTGGAACTCTGTCACTTGGGTGCGGTGACCAGGCAACCCAGTTTTTAATAATCTTCTGAAGGCCAGGTAGTGATTGATTCCACAGAGACTTCCTGTTCTGTGCATGTCACCTGTTTTATTTTTATTTTCTCTCTATTCTGGGTGTAGGTACATTATACAAATGCAGACTAGAAACACTTTAAAATTAAGATTTATATAGAAAATATTTAGAGTAAAATTTGATACTCTATTTAAGCACATGTGATTACATACAATATAAATGTGAATACATACATTACATCGAAGTGGAAATGCAGTAACATAGACACGTTTATATATAATCTGGTTCCCCATTTGTTTTGACAAAATGACATTACGATTTTAACAACTCCTGCCTATAATTCATAATTAATCACACCAGAGTTAGAAATACTAGCTTCCTGATGAAAATAAATTTGTGAACCTATTAACTTTTGATATGGAAATTACTGGCTCACATTGGAAACATTTTAATCTAGCAGTAGTGCTACTTTAGGGAGTGAGATGGAATTCCGAAATGCTGTTTAAAATTATGTCCTTTAAAGATGATGTAATGATAGGTTATATGAGCTGAACCATAATTCAGGTGCTGTGAATTTTCTCATTCGTTCACCCAACTATGTACTTTACCACAGCCAAAATACTCAGTTGCTTAAGTATTAAAACTCTTCAATAGAATAAGAGAAATCTATTTAATATAAAATAACTGGAAGGAACTTCTCACCAGCTTTTTATTTTCAGCATATGTGCACACTCTGCAAATTCATATTTATCTGTAAAATACCAAAATAAAGAACTTTAACTTTTAAAAGTTAAAATAGGGAACAGGTAAAGGATGCTGAATCACTTACAGACCTGGGTATATGGGCTGATGGCTTTCAAATGCTAGATGTGTGGAGGCAACAAGCATACTAACGGCGGCCGGGATTAGCAGATAAAACGACACTGCCTTGGTCAGTGAGTCGGTTTTAAGAAACTGTAACATGTTAGGGAATGAAACAGCTCAGGATTTATTCATCCAGAGAGTTAACAATTTAAGCAGAAAAGAAGAAGGCTGAAAGCACGCTGCTGTCTATACAAATCATGTCCAGGATGCTAGGTTCACACTTCCCAAGGAAATGCGGGTCCTCACTGGAGGGACCACGGGAGTGCCACTGGAGAAGCTGTGACCTGCAGAGGGTGAGTACTGATAAGGTGAACATGTTGCTCTTCCAGGAACAGAGCTACAAGGCCCTGAGGCCAGAGCGTGCAGTGGTGTGAACATGGGCAAATGATCCTTCATGAGTGGCAGGTGGAGCCTGAGGCAGGATGCCCAGCGAGGAAAATGAGGGAGGGAAAGCTGCCTGCTTGCTTGAATGATACCCTATAGACTTCTGGTTTCCTGCTAATGTTGACTGGACGACCACTTAAGTTTGTTCATTAATATAAAGACATTTCCTATTGTGTTTATAAGGATGACTTTGGCTAGTCAACTTTATAAAAGCAAAGCATTTCAGGCCCTGACAGCCATCTAGGGAGAAAGGAGGGGCTGGGGTCTGAGCTAAAGCAGAGGCAGTGGCCAGGGAGGGCAGTGGGCAATGCACAGGTGGAGGGGTTCCATGGGAGGACAGTTGATTGCAAGATTTAGCAGGATTTTCTCACTTGGGCAAGTGAACTGTGATCTCTGCGACAGAAGGAAGGATGACAAGGTAGACATTTAATCTCAATGGGTGGAAGAATGGCCGGCTCTATCTTTGATATGTTACATGTAAGAGGTCCTACCAAAGTGGGGACAATCTGGCCCACTTTTTAGCTACTAGAGTGCTCTTCGCCCTGTAACACAGCATGATGCACCTACATTTTTTAATCTTTATTCAAACTGCAGTAACTCTGCTTAGACTCTGGCACAACAAAGAAGACTCACATCGCTTGCATTTGCTACCAGGTGTGACATACTGGTCATCAACTTCAGGAAAATGTAAACTCAATAGACAAATTTTGAGAAAAGAGACTTTCATTTCACTAAAAATAAACCAACTTCAAAAATTAAATTATTCTACTGAATGAGGACATTTTATAATGAAACTAGAGGCCCAGTGCACAAAATTCCTGCATGGGTAGAGTCCCTAGGACTGGCCAGTGATCAAGGCCCATAGGGGCCTTCCCTCCAACTGCCTGCTTGGGGCTTCCTTCGGTCTGCACCACTTCCTGGTGGTTACCTCACATCATAGCAAGTGATCGAACTGGTCTCCAGAGTGAACTCCTGAGGGGACATTTTGCATACTAAGCTCTCTCTCTCTCTCTCTCTCTCTCTCTCTCTCTCTCTCTCTCTATATATATATATATATATATATATATATATATATTTATATTTATATTTATATTGATATTGATATTGATATTGATATTGATATTGATATTGATATATAATTTAAGGAAATGTCTTAAGATTATGGAACCTTCTTTTCATATAAATCAATGTTATCATTTTTATTAAGAAGTCTAGTCCTAGCCAGTTTTGCTCAGTGGATAGAGCATCAGCCTATGGACTGAAAGGTCCTAGGTTTGATTCCAGTCAAGGGCACATGCCTGGTTTTCGGACTCATCCCCAGTAAGGGGCATGCAGGAGGCAGCAAATCAATGATTCTCATCATTCATGTTTCTATCTTTTTCTCCCTTCCTCTCTGAAATCAGTACAAATATTTTTTAAAAGAATGTAAAGTCTAATTTTCCATTTACTCTCTAATAATCTGACATCTTGCAAAATCCTGATCTTGTCCCATTTTGCACTTAATAACCAAATCAAATGGAATTAAGTGCAGGATATTGATCTCTGATTTCTCCCTTCCTCCTCATGGTGATATTTTTAAGTTCAGAAGTTTTGGAAAACATCAAAACTGCCAACCATGTAGTGGATCAGAGCTTGAGAAATACAAGATTTTAGACAGATTTTTCCCTACCCTCTCAGAGCTTCCTTACTGACCTCTGTGAGTTTTGAGTACATTTATTAAATTCCAAATCACGTGGCTATTAACTGTTTAAAATGCACAGCACCCAAGTGCCCTTCTGGCCATACTGAGTTAATGTCTTTATATGAAAACACCAAATCTCACCCCATTTTTGGTCATAATATTTTTTTATCTGGGCCTTTATTTTACTATTTGACATTTTCAAAATTCTTATCTTTAGGTTACATCTCAAATATTGAAAGCTAACTAAATGTAGAAGGTCCATGAGATTTACTTGTGGTGAAATTTCATATTTATCCTGATAGAAAGAACTAGAAATATCACCTCTGAATAGATAAGCAACAGGAAGTGGACACCCGGACTATGATATTAATTTGCCATTCTCTCCTCTTCTTTGCCTGTTCTTTGTTCCCAGACTTTAAAATTTGAGTGGCAAACCTTTCAAGCTTTATTGTGTGTGCCATTCAGAAAGGAAACCTGAAATCTGTGCAACATCAAAAGCAAAGTGCCTCAGTTGAAACGTTCTTGTTTGCATTCCTATCAAATGCCATCATTGGAACAGAATAATTGTTCTGGATCTATTGCCTCTTCTTGTTCGTCTCTCTTTGGGATGTCTAAGAAGCTCATTTAAAGAGCGGGGGGCAGCCAGACTCCACAGCAGACTGCCTACTCACTGTCTGGTTCTTATGAGAACATCTCACTGAAGACACCCAGGAAAGCGTCCTCTTGGGACCGAGTTATTGAAATGCCACAGGAGGAAACAGGCAGGAGAGACAACTTGCAGCAGCAAATAATAAGGCTCCAGTTGCCAACCCTGACAGCATCTGCTATCAGGCCCGTTCCCACCAAGGATGTCTCCAGGAGTTTGATGACATTATTGCTATTCTATCCCAGACACATTTTTCATAAGCCATTATTAACAGCTGTATTTTAACCGGGGTACCGTATCATGACTTTCATGCATACACTTCTCGGTTTATTTACACGTGTGTATGGCTTAATGACTTTGCAAGCCATACTGCATTTTATTCTTGAAAGACGTGATTAGAATGTATGGTTTTAATTTCTTCCAGCTCTTACTTCCACCTAGATAGGTAAGCATCCTATCAGTTCAGGTTGTTCATTATAAACCCATGTGTGTTAAATTAGTTTTCAAACTGAATTCAGGAATCACCCAGTGATAAGCACAATAAATGAATGTGCAATGAAGCAGGTTGCCAACTACAGGAGTAGTTGTTTACCGGGATTTTTCAGCTCAGATCTTTGACACATAGACGAAGTCAGCTATCGATTCATCACATTCACGGGTCAGGCACTATAGTGTGAGTGTTGTGAGTAATTTCTACACCAGACACATTGGAAGAATTTGCTTGGTTACACAATGGTGATAGTTTCTCTTTTTTCCCCCTAAAGCAAATGTAATACACCCCCTCCAATGCCAGATGGAAAGTGATTCTCTCCAAAGCAAATACAGCTGTAGCTAAAGGGGTGCGACCTTCACAGCCACTTTGTCTTAGTCTGGCCTAGGGGAGCACACCTACCCAGGAAGCCAAGATGATATTTCTTTGTCTAGTTTGTTATCTGAGTTTCTCTGGGATCTTATGACAGCAAGGTGCTGTTTAATCACCCTAAAAAAAGGAGAGGGACCAGCCTTGGCCCAGAGGCTCATTTGGTTGGAGTGTCATCCCTACACCCAACTGTGGCAGAACCCTGGTAAGAACACACATCTAGGTTTCAGGCTCAATCCTGCCCCAGTCAGGCTGTGCATGGGAGGCAACCTATTGATGTTTCTCTCTCACAGTGATGTCTCTTTCCCTCTTTCTCTCTCTCCTTCTCCCCCCACTCCGTTTCTCTATCTCTCTCTCAAAGCAATAAACATATTCTCAGGTGAGAATTAAAAAATAAAATAAATGAAAAATAAAGCGACCAAAAAGGCGATCTGGTGGGGAGGGTCATAGAAACTTTCTGTTTTTCTCTAACATGAGACACATGAGACAAATCCATCCCTTGATCCTCACATTCAGGGAGAATGGAATGAGAAACAAAATCTTCTTTGTAAGCAAGATATCTTCAGGGAAGATGCAGGTATTAATATCAAAAAGAGGTAATGAGTACACCGAGAGGAGAGCGGAAATTACAGGAAAGCACTAGCTATGAAACTGCAATCCTGCAATCGGCAAGGCACACTGTGAAGCTTTGGAAGGAAAGGGTGTGTGTGTGTGTGTGGGGGGGGGGGGCGGTGGTAGAGTCCTGGTCTGGAACACGAAATGTCAGTCTCCTGTGGAGGCCATGGCTGGGGAAATGTTTGCCTGCATGAGGGGCCTATGTGTTAGGAGCAGATGAAGAGAAAAATGGAATGAAAGCTCAGGTAACTCTTTGTAGCTACAGTATATGAAGTTATAGCACTCAATTGCTACGGGTCTTAAGGGGCTCAGCATTGCTATTGATGAAACAAAACTCTAACACCCACATTTACTGCCTCACAGGCAGCTATATTAACCAAGGTTGGCATTATTATTTGTAATGGTGTAAAAGAAAAGGAATTATAAACACAAAATAATCTTGACCCACCCACAAAGATTATCACAGACAATACACTTGCTTAAGCAATACATTTTATATAAACTATCCTCCTATAATACTTATACATGTCATACATACATATGCAAAAATATTTTACTAGATAAAGTAGGTATTACAACATTTTGTTTGTATATTAATAAGGTCCTTTCAATGCTAATGAACATTTACTGGGTTGAAGTTGAGTTTACCCAACAGCCATAGAAATTCCTAACCTTGCTGTTGGAAGTGTACACAAACAGTAACAGCTGTTGTTTTTCTAACATTTTTAATGATTTTCATCTCATCTCATGTCTTATTCCTACAGAAGTCACTTCCAAATGTCAATATACACATAGTGCAAAACCATGTGTCTTGATTGCCATCAAATTAAGAGAAAACCTAATAAGAGTGTTAAAACAGTGCTGGTGTGTGTAAATAAAAACAGAATTAAAAAATTACTTTCCTAAAAATAAAATCTAACATGTAATTTGGCCCAAAAGGCATAGACCCATGAATATTTAATAATATATTTGCTTGAAGAGTATTAAATAATTTTATAAAACCACCAATTTAGAAAATTAAAAGTTAATAGCTCATTGATTGCCAAATTGTAATATGGATAATCAAATATATGAGTTCAAAGAGAGATCAAGCTTTAGGTCCTAGGGAGGCATATGAATATCTGCAATAAGGGGTTTTAATTCATATGTAGAGTACTGCTGAGTCACATGTTTATACAGCCTTATTTCTCATAATTTCTAGGCATTATTCTAAGTGTACAGATATCAAAAATGAGCAGCGGGTCATTCATGCACTCATTCAATGATAGAGCACCAAGGATGTGCCAGAAAAACACTGGAAATCATTGATTTCTAAGATTTTTAAGAAATTACTGAACATTTTAAACCAAATGTAAATATTTTTTTTATAAAACTATATAGCAAGTCTGTAAAAGAGAAATGGTGGGTTCTATGAATTTCAATGAATGTCATAATTTTCAATTATATTTTTTCTTTCTAAGTATAGGCTTAGTATTTTCAATAGGATAAAAAATTCTAGTTCAAATTAAAATATTTTGACCAAGTTGCTACTAGCCACATAGGTAGTAGGTACTAGCCTACCTCTGTGGCTATTAAAATTTAAATTAAATTAAAATTTTAAAAATTAGTTCCTCAGTCACAATAACCACATTCCAGATGCTTAATAGGTACACATGACTGATTTCTAAAATATTGAGGAAAAAAGATATATGACATGTCCATCATTAGCTACAGTGCAGGAGATGTTCAAAGCAAGGGTTTCAGCTTTTGGTGTTTGACCTTCCTTCAATTATTTTTTTAAAAATATATTTTCATTGATTTCAGAGGGGAATGGAGGGGAGATAGAAACATCAGTGATGATGCCAAAACCGGTTTGGCTCAGTGGATAGAGTGTCAGCCTGCGGATTGAAAGGTCCCAGGTTCGATTCTGGTCAAGGGCATGTACCTTGATTGCGGGCACATCCCCAATTGGGGGTGTGCAACAGGCAACTGATTGATTGTTCTCTCTCATTGATGTTTCTAACTCTCTATCCTTCTCTCTTCCTCTCTGTAATATATCAATAAAATATATTTTTTTTAAAAAAAGAAAGAAAGAAACATCAGTAATGAGAGAGAATCATCAATCAGCTGCCTCCTGCACGCTCCACACTGGGGATCAAGCCTGCAACCCAGGCATGTGCCCTGACTGGGAATCAAACTGTGACCTCCTGGTCCATAGGCGGATTCTCAACCACTGAGCCAGGCTGGCCAGGCCCTTCAGTCTTTCTTTACTTTTCCTCATCCTTCTCCTCTTCCTCTTTCTCCTCATTTTCCTTCTCCTGCTTATTCTATTGTACAACTGCAGCCTCATTAACTGAGTGAAAATGAGAACCAATCAGTAATTAGATCATGTGACACACACACAAAAAAATATATACCATTCTTTCTCTAGCCAAGTAAATCTTACCCATCCTCCAACAGTGTCTTTGGAAAGCCTGCCCTAGAGTCTGAGTTCTACAAAGTACACCTGGTCTTTACAAGCCTGCCACCTTGAGAAAGATCTGTTGAAAAAAACAATTTATTTTTAATGGTTTCCAGAGCATTGTAAGAGTGGTCAGGTACCCTTTACTCAACTTTCCAAAAATGTATCATCTTCTGTAACCATGATATGTTTATTAAAATAAGGCATTAACATCAGTATTCAACTCCTAGGAGCTTGAAAATCAAATGTATATTTTGAGAGTTTGGTAATGCAATGAACATTTAATGAGTGATGCTTTGAAGACCTGCTATTCCTTTCGTTTTGTTTTCTGTATTCTTTTAAGAACAACTCTTCACCTTCATCCTCTCACAGTTAGTGTCAACAAAAGTGAATTCAGCATCAGATATACTAACTTGAACATAACAGATGCTTAGGAAATATTTCTTAAGTTGTATTTATTATTTTCTACTTTATAGCTGGATAATAAATATCTTGTTCCGTGGGCACAGAAAAGGAGCTTCCAAACAGAACACACAAAATAACATGATCTATCCACACAATAGAATGCTCTATGCCCATGAAACAAACACAGTATACAACTATGTGTAATATATGAGTAGCTCCTAAAAATCATCTTCCAAAAAACAACAGATGCGAAGTCAGTACTAGGATTCAGTTTATATCAAGTTAAAACTTGAATCTATGCTATTGGAAGACCAGAGAGGTATCAGTATAAACAGTGCAAGGGCATCAAAAGCTACACAGCTGAATCCTGGTGAACTTCTAATTCTTGATGTAACTGCTGGGAAATGGATGAGATCACTTTGTGAAAGCACATGGGGTGTATATTTAGAGAATGTGCCATTTTGTCATTTTCTGGATTGAGTTTATGCTTGAGTAATAATTTGTCCATAAACATTTTTAAATCTTCCACTGTTATATTTACTTTTAAACAAAAATTGGTTTTCTTTTTTCAAATATCAATTTAATACCTATTTGAATGAATTTTTAAAAGATTCCAAAAAATGTATTTGTTATGATCCATTAATAATTAATTTTAAGATTAGCAATCCAGATCTCATTAATATAAATTAATTTTATAGCATTAATATTAATTTATTATTTATAATTCTATTTATATTCATGATGCTTAGATTTGTCATCTTAAATTTATTTGATATTTTTATTTTACATTTTTTTTTTTTTTTTGGTAGCATTTGCCAACTTTTTTTTTTTTTTTAATTTATTTATTTATTTATTTTTACATATTTTAATGATTTTTTTTTTGCCCCATTGATAATTATATTTATCTTTTCACATTAATATATGTATTTAATTAATACCCAGTTTGTTTTATTTTTTAGCACATTTAAGATGGAGATGTATATACAATATAACATGTTAAACTTAGTGACAGAAGAAAACCTTGATAGCTCATGATATTTGGAGAAAATATGTTTATAAATAAACTTTCAAGTCAAATGCAAAGAAAGGGAAATATTTTGCTCTGTAGCTTATGTATCCTAAACAACCCCTCCTGTGTTCAGAGCCAAATGTAGAAAAATTATGTCTGTTTCTAGTAATTAATAAGGTTTCATATCCCAATATTTTTCTCCAATAAAAGAAACCAAATTTTTTGGATAACAGTTTTTTGGATTTCATGGCTTGGGGCAAATATATATATTAATGACTCTGAAATGGTTTAATGTAATAATCTAAGAATGCTCTCTATTATAATCATCATCATATTTCTGCTTTTGAGTCACACCATCCCAGAATCACTTCAATGTGTTCTAACAGTTCAGGATCTTTGCTTCTTTAGAATGACACAGAAGTCTGAGTACCTCTAGTTGGCCGTAGCATATGGCCTCTGCACAAGTACTGATTATGGCTAACATTCACACTCTAGGACTGGTTTTGTGCTCAAGAAATCAGTGTTGGGAAAGGAATCACAGTGACTTCTTTAATCAGAAGTCCTGCTAGGTCTGCA